TGCATAAAAAATGCAAAGCAAGAATTTGAGACCGACTTGGAAATTCTTGACAAACTATTTGAAAAAATATGGCTATACTTGGTATTTCCAAAAGCTCACAATGGTCTTAATCGTATGGATTGTTTGTAATCACATAATTTATTCTGAGAACTAAAAAAGAAAATTACCATATGCACTTTTCTTCACTGCTGTATATCTTTTCAATTTGGCAAATCATATGCAGATGTGAAGGAGGAATAAAATGTATTGAGGGGACTAATGAGAATAAAAGTAGTTTGGCAACCGAATCAATTATTTAGAAGGTTGGTGAGCTCTCAGTTGCTGGAGTTCTTGAAGCAGAGGCTGAATATACCTTAGTTCAAGATACTATGTGCCAAGCAGACAGGTGAGCATTACTAACCTCAATGATTTTATGTTTAAAGACATGACAAATATAATTATATAGGATCAAGCTAACTGTATTGCTATGTGTCTAAACTCTAAAAGGAATCAGCAATATAACAGACCAGGTACAAATCAACATCTGTGGGCAATAAAGTTTTGTAATCCAAACTAGAACTAAGGAGAAATTTTTCTGACAGTGAGAGAACAATTAACCAGTGGAATGGCTTGCCTTCAGAAGTTGTGGGTGCTTCATCACTGGAGGCTTTTAAGGAGAGATTGGACAGCCATTTGTCTGAAATGGTATAATGTCTCCTGCTTGAGCAGCGGGCTGGACTAGAAGACCTCCAAGATCCCTTCCAACTCTGTAAACTAAGATTTCTTAAAGTGCAAGGATTTCTGTGTCATTTTGCCACCACTAGATAAGATTTATGCCTAGAATTTGTAGCTTGCTAGGGTATTATTAGGCTTATGAAGTCCAAGGAAAGAAGCAGGCAAAAAACCCACATCTTTCATTTTCTAATATGATGAGAGAACTGCACAAGAATATTACACATCTTTTTGTATAACATGTTTTCACTATTCAGTCTTGTTATGGCTTTCACAAAAAAATATGAAACAGAAAGTGAATTACTCAAGGTTAAATATTGTTTAGAAGTTTCCTCTAATGCTAGTGTGCAAAACCTCAATTTTGCAAATAAGGAATATTTGGGGCATTACATACAGTGTTTATAATAATTTATCCAATCAAAGAAAAAGACAGAGGTATTGTAGTCTCACCTATGACTTCAGATACCGTGCAGTATAACTATTCAAATGCTTATTATACATTCTGTTCAGGAAGACTGTTGTCCCCTTGTGTAAGATATGCTGACAATGAAAAATGCTCAACAATGCTTTTCCTAGGAATTATAGGAATTATATTTACAGAGTTGCTTACTTTGTATCAGACAGGGTTGTATCCATTCTTAAACCTGATGTAAGTGGCCATTTACTGGCTCCTAGGGGGAAAAATCCTTGCCTGTTATTTTTCTAGGCATACAGGCAAAGTATGTTCATTTCTGCCTTGCTTGTGCCAATCTTAGGAAGAAGAAAATTCTTCAGACACCTATTGCTATACTAAAGCTGATTTGTGGGTTTCAGTTACTATCCCTAGCAATACTGATATTAATTACAGAGAGTAAATTTCTCTCTTTACATAAATTTCTCCCTTTACATAAAATTCTATTTGGAATGAGTGGTGAATGTTTTATATCAATTAACAGCATTTTTTTTTGCAAAATAATCATATTTACACAACATTTTTAATATCATATGATTCTGGGCAATTTGAATGCATAACATCTATAGAAGAATGGGAATAAATCAATCAAAAGGTATGAATGACAAAAAATGCCCTTGAACCTCTCTCCCAATACTTGTACAGATATGTAATGCAGCCTCTGGTCTGCTTCAGATATACATGCACAAATTTGATTATAAAACATCTCACCATTTTGCAACTAAATGTTGAGCAATTTCACACATTGTTAGGAATACCCCTAAGCATGTGACCGTGATAGCCAGGTATACAGAAATATTGTCATAGGCTGAAGCTATGCATATATAAATGTGTTCTTCATAATTCCACCTTATGGAAGACTGGCTTTTTTTTGCTACTGCAGCAAAGACATCTCGTGTGAAATAACCCTGAGATTGGGTTCCCTTGAGAATTCTTCTGTTTGTGATTAAATGAATCGAATCTCGTGGCTCATTTATGCATCAGACAAGAGACTAAGGATTATATCTATATGTAACATTCTCTTTGATGCCTATTACTATATTTATCTGCATTTTATCGGAGAGCAAGGCATTTAAGGGCAGGCTTTTTTTTCTCTTTCACATTCTCCCTTTTTTTCAAGAAGTATTCCTGTAGTTACTGTGAACTCATGATATTGAGATCACATTGAGCTTGGCTTCATTACCTTATGTTGTTATGTGAATTTGTATGGTTTTTGGCTTAGTGTAAATTCAACCACCAGGAATTTCCTTTGTTTATGACTGTCTAATTTGTTGTATGAATCCAATTGTTTGTGATTTAAATAATAAAATATTGTTTAGTGTGTGAATTAGGCAGCATGGGATAAAATAAAATTTGAGCTCTGGGAGAAATATTAAACTGTAGCAGCTTGAGTTGAATGCTTAGGGACTCATACTGGGAACAGCATGATTTGTGAATAGAGATATTGTTAATCTGCGGGACTATGTCCCATACTCAATAAACTGTTAAGTGATTATACACATTTTTAAATTACTTGTGAAAACTGTTCTGACATAAGTGCAATGCTCTGCTCTTTGGAACTTTACCTAATGCTTATGCATGCAAAAATATATTTAATATGGTTTAAATTCATATTTTTCAGCCATTCAATATATTTTATGTAGCAAAGAAGATTAAAAAAATAAATTATGTACAAAGGTAACCTGTGCTTCTAGAAATCTCTGCATTCTTCAGCATTTTAATAACATTTGAAAAGTGGTAATGTTTGTGATGAATGAAATGGAATCTTAGAATTAACAATAAGACATGTCTGTGGTTTCCATTTCAACTTTTGGTATTTCTTATGAAACTTACAAATTGAGGCAGTGGGTAAATCTTGGGAAAGCTCATGTCCTTGTGTCAGGTTTTTACAAGAGGAGTATAGAAAGAGAAATGGGATTTATCCTATCTCAAATTTTCTGAAATTTATATTTTACAGACTGAGTTTTCCTTTCCATTATACTCATAAATCCCCAAATATATTTTATTTGTGATATTCACTAGTGATATGGGGAAAAAACAGATTATGGCTCTAGCAAACTAAGAAGTTAACTCAGAGATAATGACAATGTAATGGCAATGACTGTTACTACATTCTTGTAGATATTCTGGTTTTTTGTTTCTTTCCATGCGGTTGGAGATTGCTTAAAGTGAAAAATTTCAGATTAGTTTTGTCTCAAACATTTTACTGGACAAATAGTGAAATACGCAAGAGTTCCCAGGATCAGCTGACTCGAGATTGTCAAGGCTTGATGAAAGACTGAGCTTTTGACCAAAAGGGGATTCAAGTAAGTTATGAGGGAAATGACCTGTGCAAATACTCAGTGCTTTGAGAATCAATCCATACTGATTCAAAGCATCAGATTAACTCAGTGAATTGAAGGAGCATAAATAAAATACATCTAAATCAATTCACATTAATTGGGTATTTTCTTCACATGTGCAGTTGCACTTTAAGGCCTGAATTGGTCCTAATAGAGTCCATTCCAATTGGAGGTTCTATTTGAATTGATTTAGGTGTCTGAATCAAATATATCTTCTGAAATAATTTAAGCATTTGCATTGAATCAGATCTTATTCACACACCTCAGTAGAACATCTGTGCACATTGAACCACGTTCTATAATTATCTCAATGTACATGCAGATACTACAGTAGGTTTCCAAAAGCTAGCAGACTTTTTTCCATATCCTGCCAGCCAGTTTTCATGCAATCCACCTTTCTGATTTTAAAAAAAGATAAAACTGGGGATTGTACAATTATTGTTTGGTGTGTGTGCACATGTGCACGCAAGCAGATAGATAGATAGATAGATAGATAGATAGATAGATAGATAGATAGATAGATAGATAGATAGATAGATAGATAGATAGATAGATAGATAGATACCTCCAAATTCATAGTCCATTTATGAAGAGTCGGAAGGCATCTCAATTATACACTTTCTCCTTAGATCATTACCATCACAATCAATTATTAAGTGCCCAAGGTTTTCCATTTTCCTCTAAGATTAGAGTATGCACTTACTGGTGCTGGTGCAATTTTCTAACTTGTCAACTTAATATTCCATATGTATTCTAGATATTATCCACTGTTCTTCATTGACTGTAGAAAAAAATGACCTTTTTCAAGCACAGATATTTATCCAGTTTGCCATATTTTAAGTTCCATGGTTTTTAGAATTAAATGATCATAGTACTGTATTATCATTTTCCATCTTTTTCTTAGTAAAATTGTTCTAGCTTTCAAAAACATTTTAAAAAGATGGTAAGTTACTATTGAAGATGATCTCATCAGCATCGTTGAAACGTCTGTATAAATAGAGCATTTAAAGAAGGAGAACCAAGGTTCTTCATGCATATAAGCATGTAAGCACATGACAAGCTCATAGCTGAGATCTTTGAAATGAGCCAAAGTAGAATCTTGAATCTACTCTCTTTTCCTCTTCTTTGAAGACCCATCTGCCATCAAATGGAAAATGTGTTTCCATGGCAGACTTGATGTCAGTTTGATATTGATGATGCTCGAACCAGAGCGGAAACTGAAACGGGCCACCATCCTTTAAAATCTCATACAAAGCTGCATGAAGTACAGCTGAATGAGGGTACCTGAAGAAGAAAGAGGAGGAGGAGGAACAGATGACAAAGCTTTAGTAGTCTTGAGCTTGTGTGTTGTCAAAGAAATATGTTCTTTCCTCCCAGGTAAATTGCTTCTAGATTAATGAAGCAGGGGAGACATTGAGTTTTGGAGTTGAAGTGTAAAAATGTCTCCTGACATTTATAGCAAAATAGATCCAAATGGCATGTATTGGCTTTACTTCTCAGTCATCTTGTCGGCACATTGGGAAGTTGACAAAAGTGAAGACATTAAACTCTATCAGTACTGAGAAACACAAGAAAATGGCATAGAGGGTGAGCACATAGATGCCCAATTTCTTATCAAGTTTCCATTTATTTAAGTGGATCCCGCCAACCTGTAAAAACATGGGGAATGAATTATTTAATATTGAAGGCAATATATATGCTGTAGGCTAAAAAAAAGCACTTTAAATGAGAACTTCAAAAATCATACAAGGAAACTAATTTCCATGACCTTTACAACTGGAGAAACTCTAAATCCTATAATACAAAATGTTTGTGGAGGAGTTATTAGAAAGTCTATAAAAGGAAATGAGTGTTTTATGATTCACATATTCAACTGATTTTTTTTTAATTAGGTGACAATCCAGCATGTTGCTTTAAGTGTTGTACAAATATCAAGAAATAAGTCTCCTGGGACGCTTCATGGATTTCAATTAAGAGTTAGTATAAAAAATTACTAAGCTACCTGAACAAAGTAAGGGTTTCAACTGTTGTATTATACCCGTATCTGCGTAGCTTCACTCGGTCATCTCTATTTTTTTAATTCCTCAAACTTTAATTTTATTCCATCCTTTTCCCCATTTTATCTGTTTCTGCAGGTTCTTCTTTATATACATATTGGATCTCAGTTTAGAAGATACAATAGCCCCATTTATTGTCTGTTAAACTGAGGATCAATTTTAGATAAACTGTATAGAATAAAAAAACAATATTCTCTTAAATATTCTTCTAAATATGAATAATTTTTATTGCCAGCTTATGAAAAAGAGATCGGACAACCAGTCTGGAATGGTATCAGGCAGGGGTAGTCAACCTTGGCTCTTTTATGACTCGTGGACTTCAACTCCCAGAATTCCTGAGCCAGCTAGTCATAAAAGAGCCAAGGTTGACTACCCCTGGTATAAGGTTTCCTGCTCAAGCAGGGGGTTGGGACTACAAGACCTCCAAGGTCCCTTCCAACTTTTCTATGTTCTGGTGAGAGAGAAGTTCCCTGAGGATGGGCTCCAGAATGAGACTGAAAGCTTGGAGGACTAAACCTTTGGTCCTGGTGACCGACCCAGATTGGATCCCGAGGATGTGACTGCTAAAAGTTGTCTGGTAAATTTAGGAAATCCAGAAATTTTGGCCCCATTTATGTCACTTAGGTAATTTCTCAAATGACATACATTGATAGGAGGACATAAATTCAGATTCAACAGACAGCATATCATCTGAATGTACTGTTAAACCAAGGTTTTATTTTATCCATGCTTTTTAATGCACATATTTTTGCAAGTTTTAAAGCAATTCATTTTCCCAATCAAAGCTCTTTTTGTAAATTATTTTTACAAATGTAAGTTTTTTAATAGTAGTCCCAAAGATGCTTTTTCAAGAGGCAACAGGACTTTCTTGTTTTTCTTTGAAGATGTTTCGCTTCTCATCCAAGAAGCTTTTTCAGCTCTTCAGTCTGACCTGGGTGACTGAGAATCTCCATAGACCACTTTAAATAGTACAACTCATTTGTAAAGTCTATTAAATAGCTATGTTGACTAAATAATAGTAGTACATTTTGCATGACAAATATAAGTTAACTATTAAAAAAATCCCATCTCTAGATATGTTGTATAATATGACTGGATGCAGAAATAAATTAATTCATCAGTTCACTTACAGTAAGAGCTACAGACCCCAGAAGAAGCACAACAGAATAAAGTAGTCCTTTGCTGTTTATCTTAACCTATGAAAGTCAGAAAAGATAGATTAAAGTACTTGTCACGTTTAAGAATATAATCATTAGAAAACTGCTGTTTTCTAATCCCCTATAAAGGGGGATTGTAAAAACCGGAGCTTTTTTTCTCATAGAACACCCAGAACTGAGTTCCGGCATCTTTTTTGGATGGAACCTTGTAGGGTAGGCAAGGCGGGTTGTATGATGTGTGTGAGTTCCGGCACCTTTTTTTTTTTTTAGAAAAAAAGCACTGGTAAAAACAATACTCATAATTTCATCTCCAATGAATTCAACAGGCAATGTCTTACGAAGGACCTTTGCCTTTCCTTACAGAAAGAAACAGAGGTTTAATTTTGCAAAATACTAGCTTCAAATAGGTTTACTTCAGAGGGAAGATTCATTCAGGAATCCAAAATGCAAAGGAAACAATTGAACATTTTTGAAGGGAGCACATTGGTTATGATAATGCTTTAATAACACTAGAGAGAACAATGATAGTCAAAGGTAAAGAATTAGTATAACTGTATAACTATAACTATACCTACTGGCCGTTGAGCAGGCCTTAAGAGACATAGTAACAAAACAACAAGAAACAATTAAGAGATTTCGTGAGATAGTATTGGTTCCTTCTGGAGGCCCCTGAGAAATCTAAAACAAACTGCAGAGATCTATGTGTACTATACCTACATGCTTCTGAGGTGTTCTGCCATCTTATTTCAGAGCCAGCTGTAAGCTTGGCGGAGAAAGAGGTATGTATGCTGGAGAAATAGTTTTATGAAATTTTTGCTTATAGATTTGCCTGAAAATCTCAATATTTAGGGTACCTTTTCTGAATAAGGCCATGTTGCAATTGGCACAATTCCAATATGGTCTTATTTCAATTTCCAGCGTAATTGACCATCATGGCCAAAGTCTAGCTGAGAAGACTGGGACCTCTTGTCCTAGCTCACAATGTATCTACAGCTAATCAAGCTGGGGAAAGCTGATTTCAACTAAACCATACCCAAACAATTGTTTTCTTCAATCATATTTTCTGTGACAAAAACTTTGAACAGATTTATTTACATCTGGATACATACGTATGAGCCGTAATGAACCACCATAGTCTGTAAGCCCCATGGTACTCCAAGCCCCACAAGAATGTCAAACACATTGCTTCCAATTGTATTGGACACTGCCATGTCACCTAATCCTGAAAAATAAACATTTCACAATTCAAACCATTTTGATTCATACAATGATTTATTTTACAACAAGCAAGAAGCAGGGAGAATAAGCTTTCCTCCTCTACCAAGAGGCCTCATCTAGAGGTAATGAATGTAGGCCATAAATTGGCCAGGAATCCCTACAATAATTCTTCACAGAACCAATTATTTTGATTGAGGGAGAGAAAAGGCAAGTTTAGGTATAAATGGGCTTAAAAGTATGTTATAATTCTGAGACATTCAAAGGGTCACATAATATATTTGAAATCTCAAAATGTAGCTTAATAAAATTAGTTCTATTCAGGATGCTGAGGCTTAGATTCCCACAGAGAACAAGGGGGCTCTTCCAATATTATGGAATTCTGTGTGGATTCCTACACAAAACGACACACCCCTTCCAATGTAATGATCCAATGAATTCTAATAATTTCTGTGGGGAATTATTTTTTTTACAAATCTCTTTTTTTTTTTTTTTTAATTAGTCAAATTTGGCTGTTTATTGGTAAAGCCCCAATACAAATGCATTTAAAGAAAATAAATGGATAAAATCTAGTCTATTTTAACTCTTGAGACTGGAATAACAAGTTGATGGTGAGTTGGAGATTGCAGCATTGATAAATTAATCAAACCCATAAATGGATTAAATTTTCATGAAAGCATAAAACAAATTTCTGATTATTGGAGGACAGCTCCCACAGTTTATTTTTACTGAAATATTTTTAAATATCTGAGATTTAATCAATTGAATCAACACAAGATTAATAATATTGAAATAAAACATCCTTTGTTTATATATTACATAACATGTTTAAAGCAATATTTTTAAAAAAGCTTATATAAGAGAAAGGAGGGTGCTGTTTTAAATTGGTGTTTGTGATTCAAACTTTACATGTGAATTTGCATTACAAATAATAGATACAGAATAAAATATTGAGAAGGCTAGTACCCCCTTATAAAAGGTATACTAACACCTTCCTCTCTTGGATATCTGTATCAATATATTTCTCTCCTGAATATTTGAGATAATTTTTAGTCAGTCCAAGAATTGTAAATAAATTAGTTGTGCTTTTCGACTGATATGAATGGGATAAAGGGAATTATGGAGCACTGAATCTGGATCACCTGCAAAGGTCTTTTTCAAAAGGCAAATGGATTTTCTTCGTTTTTCCTTGAAGACATTTTGCTTCTCATCCAAGAAGCTTTTTCAGTTCTGAATTTCTTCATTTTAGAACTGAAGAAACTTCTTGGATAAGAAACAAAATGTCTTCAAGGATAAACAATGAAAGTCCAGTGGCCTTTTGGAAAAAACCTCTTTGAGACAACCATGACTGGATGACTGAAAATCTCCACAGACATCAGTTTGTAATTTTAAAAATGGCATGAATGTTTAGGCTCACACTTTCATTTAGACAATTTTACGCATTTCCAAAGTATAAAACCATACAGTGGTTTGTAAGCAATTTCCTCCTACACAGTATTTTCTCTCAAATGTCTCTTAACACACACATATTTGTATGCAGGTTTTGTTAATCAATTTTGCACACATTTTAATCAGAGGACTGTAATTCAAAATTAAGAAAATTGCAAAAACTGAAGGATACCTGCATTCTGATTCAGATATTAATTTAGGCAATTCAAATGATATTAGCCTGTGTTGAAACCTGAATGAAATGAATGTGATTTTAACAATCTCAGCCCCATCTCTACAACAATAATGTAGGAGCTCTGCTTAATGATGTGGAAAACAAGCACAGTCCCAAAGGTGCTTTTTCAGGAGGCAACTGGACTTTCTTTTTTCTGTTTGAAGACATTTCGCTTCTCATCCAAGAAGCTTCTTCAGCTCTGACTAGATGGGTGGGGAATGGAAGGATTTATACTCCTTGCAAATAGCTGGTCATTTGCATTATTTTAGAGGGTCCTTGGGGTCATCTGGAGCAGAGGCCCCCAATCTTCTGGGCACCAAGGACCAGTTCTGTGGAGAGAGGTATTTCCATGGACCGGAGGGGGCATGGCTTCACGTGCTGCCTGCATCCCACGGAGGGGGCTTTGCTTGTTTGTGCGGACCGATTGCTGGCATGCCGCAGCCTGGTACCGGTCCACGGACCGGGGGTTGGAGACCCCTAATCTGGAGGATTATTTGTGTCCTCAGGGTCACCCGAGTAGTGCAAATGGGTGTGGAACTTTCTGGCTGCAGGATGTTTTGCCCTGTTCCTGTAGTCTGCAATGTTTTCTGGAAATCCATTCATATTCCTGCACCATTCGAGGGTGTTCATCCCAAAGTGCAGCCAGAAGGTTCCACACACATTTGCACTACTCAGATGACCCCAACGACCCTCTAAAAGAAAGCAAATGACCAGCTGTCTGCAAGGAGTATAAATCCTTCCATTCCCCACCATCCAGTCAAAGAAAAACAAGAAAGCCCAGTTGCCTCCTGAAAAAGCACCTTTGGGACAACCATGACCTGGATGACTGAGAATCTTCATAGACAAAACAAGCACAGCATTTATCTGAAACCAGTGCAGGCCTTACCTTGTCTTGCTACTATTAAACTGGCCATGCAGTCTGGTACACTAGTCCCTGCAGCTAGGAAAGTAATGCCCATGATAACATCAGGAATCCCTAGAGTGTAACCAATCACTGTTACCTGTGCAACAAAGGAAAACAAGTTGATGAAAACAATAGAACATCCTGAGTCTTAGACCATCTTTAACTGCTTGAGCAAGTGGGTGTTAAATGAACCAAGCTAATAAACACAAGAATTTCTATGCTACAACAAATTAGCAGCCATAAACTATGTAGAACAGATTCTTAAATCTAACATCTTTTATACATGTTGGATTTCAACTCATACTCGCAAAGGTCATGCCAGCTAGCTGTGACAGCAACTCTAGACCAATATCTTGAAGATGCCACACTACAGAAGGCCAATCCTAGGACACAGTAAAAATGCTTTGCAGCTTCTAGGGATAACCTGTTTTGTATATGTATTGATGTGTTGTCCAGACTACCATCTTGTAATTGTCATGTAATTCTTTTTTTTTTACATTAATTTTTATTACATTTATATTTACAGGGTGTTTTTATGTTCTTTATTTTGGGAGTTGCCCAGAGTCAATTGGAATCAAGCAACATCAAAATCAAATCAATAAAAACTGAGGAGAAAAAAGCTGAGGTTTTCTTTTCTATTTCATTTTTTCTTTTCATTGTCCAGTGAATGTGCATATTTGGAATGCAGAAACTCTGCGTGATCACAATCTTTACTTAGCATGTCTAAACTGGTTCCACTGGAACTTCAAAATTTCAAATTATTTATCTTCAAGTGGTTTTTTTTCTCCTGCATGAAGCAGAAACCTAAAGAAAGCATAATTAATGTGCAAGACTAGTAAAATTTGAGTTCAAGTCCACACTTTGTCACGAAGTTCACAGGGTTGACTTAATCAGATTAATCCCAATATTACATCCAAATTTACCTCATGGGATTTACTGCTTTGAGAATTAAATTAGCAAGAGATGCTCGTGTATGCTGTCCTGTGTTTCTTGGATTAAAATAGGATCAATGAATTGGTGCTAATTGTGAGTAATATGACACAGCTTTTCTGATAGGGTGCTTCATGGGTCCATGTCTGGACTCTAATTCTAAGAATTCCTAACAGCATGATAGATAACCTTTGTTGTCATTTTTTTACTGTGGGCACACTGGCACACATTAAAAATGAAATTTTGTTGCTTGCTCTCAAAAGTGTACACATAGATAACACACATTTAAACATGCTATATACAACATATATATAAACCTACACCCCTACATATAAATAACATAAATATTAATCACTGTCCATCTTGAATACATAGCGGAAGGAGGAAGCTTTAGAGTTCACAAGGTTAATACTGTATGGAACAAAACTGTGATTGAATCTGGATGTTCTGCTTCGGATACCACGGAGCCTCCTCCCAGAAGGTAACAAGGAAAACAGGTCGTGAAGAGGATGTGTAGTGTCCCAGAGAATCTTGCAGATCCTGCTCAAGCAATCCTTATATGTTATGTCCTGGATGGAAGGGAGGGAACTGCTAATGATATTTTCTGCCATCCTCACCACTCTCTGCACTGCAATAACTGTCTGGGCTTTTCTAGAATTTGTAAATCTAGCATGGATGAAATGTCAAATGGTAATCCAATGAATAATCACACCACCAACTCTGAGAAAAGAAGAATCTCCACTTGTCCTTGGCTGAAACCCAAATGTGGCACTGTGACACAAGATTTATTTTTCCTAGTTATTGAAAAAGAAGCTAATCAGGTCAACGCTGCGAGTTGATTAACACACTGTCTTAACAGGCTCCAGAAGGCCAGGTGAACTGGAAGGCAAGATATGGCATTTTCCAGTAACATAAATATTTGCTAGGTGTTTTAAAAAAATGAACAAAGGATGAAAAAAGTAAAAAAAAAAGGAGGAGGTTACGTTTTAAGTATCACAATTGTTCCTTTAAAATAAAAGAATTATTTGAATGCTGATATTGCACACATCAAACATTTCCTTTGCTGTCTTTCAATTAGATTTAAATAGTAATGTTCTTCATTACTTTGTTTTCTCCCTAACTTCATAAAAAATGATATCTTAATCACCACCACCCCCATATCTTTGCAATCACTCACCATCCACACCATAAAGTAGGAAAACAAAGCAATCCATAATGTGGAAAAGAGAAATGTCACCATGAAAAATTTTTCCCAGCGTGGCTTGCTGCAGTTTGGGATGGTGAAAAAGAGGAGAAATATCAGTGGCCAGGTCAGGATCCATTTGACTTTTTCCATTTTTCCTTCTGGAGAGCAAAAGAAAAGAAAAGGGAACCAGTTTGTCGATGTACATTGCTGTACTGTTATGTACTAGAGCACATTAGAAGGAAATAAAGCCAATATTATAGTTGTGCATTTTAGCAGAGGGGAAGGTAGAGGAAGAAAGGGAACCCAAATTCTATTCCCAATTTAGTGGAGTTTGCCTGTGGAGAGGGACAGCATGTCTGAATTGTGCTACATTCATTGCTCTTGTTTCTCAGACAGCAGTACTTGAAGCAAGGATATCTTGAAAAGCATTCCCAAGATGGTTGGGATTACAGGTAGTCCTCGATTTACGACCACAACTGAGCCCAAAATTTCTCTCCGCAAACGGGGTAAGGTGGCTGGCTCCCTTCCCAACCAGGTCCGGTCGTCCTGCAGCCCCCCAGGACGTTGTAAACAGGGTAAGGCGAGCAGGGTGGTTGGCGGCGGTTGTGTGTGTGGCTGGGTCGGCCTCGCAGGGCTCGACATGACATTTGTTAAGTGAGTTTTATCCCATTTTATGACTTTTGTTGAAATGCTTGTCAAGTGAATCACTGCAGTTGTTAAATTAGTAATACGGTTGTTAAGTGAATCTGGCTTCCCCATTGACTTTGCTTGTCAGAAGACCGTAAAAGGTGATTGTCAACTTCTGAAAAGAACCTGGCTAAAGCCATCTTTGTCGTTCTTAGTTGCCACACAGGTTGGGAGGAGGGGGAAGGAAAGTGAAACTATTGCTAGACTAAACACGGAGTGGTCCCGTGAGAACCAAGGTCATCCCACAGGTGCTGAAAGTTGGAGAGAAGGAGTGTCATGGAGCCCACCAATTGTCCTCATTGAGTAGTGGTGATTAATGGCCTAGTAGGGGGTAATCTGTGTGGGAATTTTAGAGTTGGTTTTACTTTTGATCGTGCCGATATTATGTATCCAATAAACATGTTCTTTGAGGAAGCTTCAAGCCTTGGAGTTCTGATTTGGCTGGGTTCATTAGTCGGAACCTTGACAGTGATCTCATGACCCCATAATGTCATAAATATGAGTCAGTTGCCAAATGACTGAATTTTGATCACATGACTATGGGGATGCTGCAACAGTTGTAAGTGTGAAAAACGGTCATAAGTCACCTGTGTAACTTCGAACAGTCACTTAATGAACTGTTGTAATTTGAGGACTATCTATATATGAAGAAATATAGTAGCCAGATACACAATCTCAGTCTTCCCTCCATTTTCCACATTTATTGTGAATCGTGTGTTTTCTTCACAAAAACTGCTTAACCCTTTGGGCTTTGATATCCAGAAAACTGTAGATTTCATCCCTTTTTTTCTTAAATCACAATTCTTAAATTATTATGTTTGGTCACACAATATGATTAAAATATATGGTTGGTCACACAGTCAACCATATGTTTAGATTGGATTTGGCATTTTTATCCTATTATTATTATTACTACTACTATTATTACTACTGCTGCTACCATTATTACAGAAAAACTACTTAAGTCCTAACAAGCAGGCACCAAACAAAAACACGCACGGATCCTTTTAAAAAACTATGTATTTAAGCCATTTAATAGCCATACTGAAGATATTTGGAAGAACCTAAAAATAAATGTTTTGGAAAAACAAAGAGAGAAAAAATTGTAATTGTGACGCAGTTGCAGTTTCAAAGGAAAAGAATGTCACAATTTGGAGTGATATAGAAAAAGGATCCCTCTTCCCAACTAATGGTCCTAGGAAGAGAGAAACTTTTCCAAGATGCTTGCCAATCAAGGTCATAATATCTGGCCAGAAGAGGCAGTCCTTTAAATAAGCAAACCTTCTTTAGGATGTTAAAGAGTATTTAGGATGTTAAAGAATAAAACCAGTAAGTATTCTAAACTGAGACTAGGAAATAAACAGCAACGAAGGCAAAACTTTCATTGTAGGATTGATAGGATTTTGTTATAATTTGCAGGCTCTTCAAGGCAAAGTAAAACCATCTAATTAATGAACAAATATATCTTCTACTGGTTAACTTCATGCATAGACTGAGGTCCTTTTTTTCAAGAAATGCCTCAATTTGCCATTGCTCAGGGAGTAGCATTGCTCTGAGAGTGCTCCACAAAGCAAATTTGTTGCATTCTTCACAATGCACAGTCAGTTGCCAACAGAGGTTGCTACATGTACACATTGTACCGGTATGTGCAAAGACTTTTTCCAAGTAATGGAAGAGTCCCAGAGCATTGGCATGAAACATTTCAACAAGGCAAATAGGATAAGAAAGATAAGGTTGACCCCAGGACAGAAAAGCCCTCTTCAAGATAAATTGTAGCCACTACTTTCTACAGTATAGTCTGCTGTTCAGTTCTTCCCCAGCTTGTGCATTTATGTTAACCAGATTTTATTTTTTTTAAAAAAAATGAAGCAGAATGTTTTCCATCACTAAAAACAATCCCTAACAACAAAGTTAAAATAAGAGAAAATGAATAATAAATGGTTCTCATTTCAGGAAAGAAACACTTGGGCAATCTTAGCTAAGAGCGTATTAATTCTAATTTACCACCCCACTCCCAGCAATGATCAACAAGAGACCATAAAATGAGCAGAGTGCTGTTTCCAGGCTAGATAGCCATTGCCTTACTTGGATTTGTCTAAATTGACATAAACTGGATCTAAAAGGAAATACAGAAAATATAAGATCACAATGGCTTTGGTAAAAGAAAAGCTGGTGGTTCTATTTAGATCTTTCCTGACATCAATGTGCTTCTGCCAAGGAATAAGAAATATAGCTGGGTTACCCACTATTTCTTTTCCTAGACAGATTCCTAGGTATACCCTGAAACTTTAGTACCAAGCTATGATCAATATTCCAAGCTGTCATTTCTAACTTGAGACTGCAGCATTTTATAAATCAATAGATAGACCAAAATTATCCAGAAAGCAGACTGGAGTCACTTTATAACCAACAAAAATGTCCTAAGAAATGTCCTCATATTCTCTTCAAATTCCTAGCACTTTCTAAATTGTTCAAATCAAGCACTGAAAAAGAAATAGTATTTACAAAAATTCCATATGAATGTTTTCTCCACATTAACTTGTACTAGTTAGTCCACAGATTCTTAAATGTCCAATTTAGGGATGGGGATGATTATTTTATAAAAGTCAGTAGCATCCAGATGATTCAGTTCTACTTTTCACAGATATGGAGCATTTACTGTACATACAAACCTTTAAACAAAGTCCCTTTATTAGAGGAAGAACTAAAGCACAAACCCACTTTTTCTCTTTTCCAATCGTGCTCTGATCAGGAAATAATGTAAATCTTAATCCATAGCCACAGTACTGCGCTAATGTAAATTTCTCAGAAGTGTATGTGTATGTGTGTGTGTGTGTATGTATATTAGTCAGTATTTAGTATATGATATAATATCAGATCATCAGATCAGTTACTTTATATTAGAATTGTATGCATTTTTATAAGCAGTCTATATGCTTTTCAATAATTGCCTTGCAAACTTTGAGAAATGCACATTCCCAAAAATAGCTTTGTTTCTCAAGCTTTCCTAATCATATCCAATTGCCCTCATGAATTGAGGGACATTTGCCACAAGCAGCCTCTCAAAATCTTGACTGCAGCCTCCAGATAATTTTGCCATTCTTTATGTTCCCACCAAATTAAAATGTCATTCTGGCAGAGGAAAATTGTTGAATATATGGGAAATAACTTTCTGAATTCCATTAAATCAAAACAGCCACTTATCTAGCCTCTTTCCCAAACCTATATTCTATTATAGCCTAAAGTTTAACAGCTGTTCTTGAATGTGGTCAGTGATACAAAAATTATCAAAATTAAGATAAAAAACAAGACACTTTTTATGAAACGCTGAAAATCTAATAAAAATATGCTAGCAGTATAAACCAGCAACTATATTCATAATTTAGTCTACTACACTTTCTGAAAAGAGCAAGACAGAAAAAAATTGAAATTTTGCCTGCTTTGAGGTTGGGAAATTGGGAAAAATTCAATGAAATAAGAGCCAGATATGAACAGAGCAATTTGCCAAAGCTATGTATCAATCAAGGACCAAACATCAGCCAAAACTACAGTTGGATTTTGAAGGTTGCTAGCAATTACTTTCAATCTTAAAGTGCTGCAGAATGTTTGCTTTTTTTTTCTGCCACTGTACTGCAGTGATTTACTTTTGGGGGCTACATAACATTTTATAGCTGGAGGTTACACTAGCTCAAAGCAAGCTGAAGAAACATGAATTCTGGCAGTTGAAGACCATGCATCTTAATGTTGCTGAGGGTTTAGAAACACTGTTCTAGAAGACCCAAGAAATTATTCCACAGGTCAGGTTCAGATTTCTTCTAAAACAGTGTTTCTTAAACTTGTCAACTTTCAGGTTTGTAGACTTCAGAATTCCCAAGCCTAACAGGAAAAAAAAATGGGTTTCTTTTTTGCAGCCCTTATCCTTTGGCAGATTTTTCCTAGAGAAATTGTCTTGTTTATTCCACAATGTGCCTTGAATATTTACCTGGTGGTGAAAATGGAGACAGGGCAATGTGTACTGCTTCTTCTTGGTTGTCAGCATGGATGGCCCCGTTTTCAATATTCTCATGTCTTCCATTCTGAATCAACTGGCCATTGGAAGAATGAATTAGACGCTGACGCTGAAATGTACAGAAAAAAGCCCAATGACTGCAAGAGCATACTGCTCCTTAAACACTTGCATGTGGTTGATTTATTTATTTATTTACCTGAGCTTTTAAATTCTAAGAAGCTAATATTCCCAATTGTTATTTGTCGTTACATTAGCTAGGAGACTAGAATGAAGTTGCATAGTAATAGTTTGGCTGTCAAGGTACTAGCTCTGTTGTAGAAAATGCTCATGTGCTTCCCATGGTGCAACACAAGAGGGCCAGTTGGCCAAAAAGAAAGACAAGCAGCTGTTCCTGCAGGGTCATCCAAGGCTCCCTCCCTCTACCTGAGCTGGCTTGAAAATGAGCACTGCAGCTAGGAAGGTTCAGAGTGCATGAATCTGACTGTCAACGCTGCAAATACTGTATATTCTTGCTTTGACAATATGCAGAACTGTCTGGTATTTTTATAGTTAAACCAGGCAACAGGGAAAAAGGGAAGAGAATAAGGATAGCCTGGGAAAAAGAAACCGGAAGTAAATCACATCTCCCAAGTTAATTGGAAGATGTGAACCATGACCCCAAAATAAGGGGGGGGGAAATGCTTAGAATGTATATGTGTATGGAAAAGAAGCAGCCAGATCTAAGCATTTCCACCATGCTATACTGACGTCTCTGTAACCTTAATAAATGCTTTTAGGAAAAATATGCCTGAAAGTCCTTTTAAGTGTTTCGTTAATCAGACACATGACACTGACTGCCTGCACAGAGCACCAGCTTGCCCCCCCCCAAATGGTACCTATTTTATCTACATGCATAGAACATGCTTTCAAACTGTTGGGTAGGCAGAAACTGAGGTGAGTGACAGGAGCTCACCCTGACATGCAGTGTTAGGACTCGAACTGCTGGAGCAGAAACCATCTCCAGCATCATTAAGCCACTATGTTCTCAATTAAAATACTTAAAAGTTTAAACAAGTCAGAGTAATAGAACCAGTCTGCTTGGTGCCCTTTAACTAATCAGAGGAGCAGTTAAATCATATTCTTCATCTATTCCTAAAAGTCCTACAGAAGAGTCAAATCTTGATCATCTTCTGAAATACCAACAGATATGAAATTATCCTTATTAACTATGCTTAGTATACTTATATTAATTAAATGAAATCTAAATACCATTAATTAAACGAAAGCTAAACACCATTTTTATCCCACATCTCCTATTATTTTTTAAAGTAAGGCTGCCATTCCAGGACCAAATAGGTTCCTTTAGTCAAGAAAAGTTGCATATTTTTATTTTAAAGCATTTTAAGTTGATGGTCATCACCATATTCTCAGGCAGAGAAATTCATATATTAAATGTGCATTATGTGAAGAGAGCGAAACTTACTGAAATTAACTAGGCTTGTAAATCACAACTAACTGAACTCCTATATATTTCAGTAGTATGTCCTTTTGGTAAGTCCTTATCTTTGAAAAATATTTTCCCATCAATCAGCATAAGGATTTATTTCTTTTTTTTAATAGCTTCAATTTACTAATGGCTTCAATTTATAAACTGAAATTTTCAATAAATTTTATTGAAATTACTTGAATTTAATTTTAATTTCAATTGTAATATAATTCAATTATAAATATTATCTATGTATAATTCATAAAATATTTCAATTTGTAAATTGAAATATAAATACATATTAATTTTTGAGAGCTTACACTATGAAGTAATTACTTTAAGAACAGTACATAGTAAGAATTAAATGTATAGGGCTCATAAAAAATAATTGAGTAAGCTAGACAACATTTTAATTATTTTCTCCACTGTGGACTCACCTCATTAATAATTAACCTGCTTGCCATCCGTAGTCTGGTTCTTGGCCCAAATTTATTGGTAATCATTATTCGCAAGCCAGCTTCAGGGAAACGGTATTTCGGAGGACTGGAACAAATAATCTCATCGACCATCACCACAGAATTGCGTCCATGCTCTTGTATTCCTTTCACTAGTGACCACAATGCCAATTAATAATTCTAATTTTCTATACTTTTGCCCACATTTGTTTATAATGCCCCCTTTAAGTAACTCAGAGGGTATTTAATCTGATGCTTCAGAACTAATAAACCATTCAATTTCTCATCTGTAGCCAAAATAGGATCCGTGTCAAATAGGATGTTTTGCTATATTTGTCCTTCCTGATAATCAAATAAGCAGATTCATTAAACTTTCAGGTTATATTTAGAAGAAAACTGTCTGTTCTTAGAACATGTGAAACTAGTTTAACAAAAGTTAGCTTTAATACATTTGTGACAATGTAACTAGAAGACAGCACCTGCCTAATTATGACCGATCTACTTAAAGCTAAGTAGGGTCAGACCTGATTAGTATTTGGAAGGAGATACCAGGAAAAAAAAAACCCTACAAAGAAGGCAATAAGAACTATTTCCTTACTGTTAACCAGAAAATTACTTTATACTGTACTAACTTCTGTTCTAGACCAAAATATGTAACATGCAGTTGTGAGTATTAGTAAAAGGAAGCAACAATCAATGCACATAATCAAACAACAAATGCTACCAGCTAGAAACAGCAAGCACAATAAGGCTGAGCAGATACGAGACATATGTGTTAGAATACACATTGCAATTAAATAAAATAAAATATTAACTAGTGCGAGAAGTATATGGGCAGTTGTGTGCCAACTAAAGGGCAATGTTATTCTCTATTGCCCTGGTTACTCAGAAGCAGGGCTTCACACAATCAGTTTACTTATGTTAAGAAGAAAATAATTAGTTTGTTAAAACCAACCAACCATTAGTACATAATATTCAATTTGAAGGCATGAAAGTCCGAGGAAAACATTCATTCAAGCCACACAATTAAAGATGATTCTCCAGAAAAATCTCACACATGACAACTGCAGGTCTGTGATTTCAAAAGAAAAGACAGAAAAGGTAATCAAGGAAAAAGCTTAAAATTATTATTTTCTTTTGGGCTATGCATTATGATTAGAACAATTTTTCCACACATTCACCATGGCTGACTTCTGATGGCAGGTTCCTGTTGTTGCAATGAGATTCAGGGTTGAGCTGGACAACTAAGCAGAGAAGATTCCAGAAGATCACATTCATTTTTGATTGTGTATAACCAATTAACTAATTTACACTTGCAGGGTAATGAGTATGAAAAAATGGACTTTAGCAAGCTGAGGATGAAAAATCTGTGAACTGTTGTGGGCAGACAATCCACTACATAAGCCATAATTACATAATTGCTAGTACAGTAGGAAACAGACTAAAGTTTTCACCTTTCCATTTCCCCAGCTCACACTTAAAAGAGTGCCTTTGGAATGATGGCATTGATACTATGATTTGTAAACAAGTTGACATACGTAGAGGAAAAGGTTAATATATGCAGGAATCAAAAGCTTTTTTGGCCAGCCTCTTTTGGTCTGGTTAACAATAACACCTGCCATTAAAGGATGCTCTATGGTTGGAAATGACATCTACCCATTTATATGTAGAAACAGGTATTACAATTATGGAAACATTCCAAAACTACACATACAGTATTTTTTTGCTTTAATAATTATACAATGGCTTTTGACTGTGTATAATCTGACAGTGGATAAATCACTGTGGATAAAACATGGGTGTACTGGACAAATTCATCAACCTACTGAAGAAGCCACAGTTCAAATGAATCATAGAGCAATGAAATGATTGAAAATTGGAAGAGGACTATATTTTATTAATTTAACTTATCTGCTGAATATTGCTTGAGAAAAATGCTGGATTAGAAGACAAACATTTCTTAAGTGGGAGGAGGCAAGAGACAACAAGAATATTAATCTCTATATATGAACTTGTTGTAGGCATTTATAAGATAAAACGTTAAAATTGCTGGAGAAACAACAACAATTTGAATATGCTGATGATACCACTTTGATGGCTGGAAATAAGGAAAACTAAACAGGGCTTCACCTTATTGAAGATAGAAAAGAGTGTAAAAAGCTGGTCTTCAATATTACAAAAGCCCCTAGGAGTAAGTCAGCATACAATGTCAACCTAGTATAAAAAAAGAAGTTGTAATAATTTACTTTTCTAGATCCAAAAATTCATAGGGATACTAATAGAAACCATGAAATAACGAGTTGTTTGCTACTTTAAAGAAAGACTGTTACAGCTAGAGAAACATATTAAAATACTGAGATACTACTCTAACAACAAAGCTTTATAATTCAAGGCCACCATTTCCCAGTTGCAATATACTGCCATGAAACCTGAAATATCCTAAAAGCTAAATGAAGAAAATAGATGTTTTTGAACTATGGTGTGAAAACAATAGCTGAGAATCCCTGGACTCTAAGAAGAAGTAATTCATAATTAGATGATATGGAATTTGACTGTTCACTGGAAGCATTAATAATGAAACTAAAACTTAAATATTTTGGAGCTGCAAGGCAAAGGCAATAATAATTGGAATAGACCTTGATTCTGGAAAAATAGAAGGTAATTGAAAATGAGCCCAACAGAAGATAAAGTAGAAACTATTACTGATAACAGAAGCAGGGGCTGCCACAAAGAAGAGGGTGTCAAGCTATTTTCCAAGGCGCCTGAAGGCAGGACAAGAAGCAACGGGTGGAAACTAAGCAAGGAGAGAAGCAACCTGGAACTAAGGAGAAACTTCCTGACAGTTAGAACAATTAACCAGTGGAACAACTCCAGAAGTGGTGAATGCTCCAACACTGGAGGTTTTTAAGAAGAGACTGGACAGCCATTTGTCCGAAATGGTATAGGGTTTCCTGCCTGAGCAGGGGGTTGAACTAGATGACCTCCAAGGTCCCTTCCAACTTTACTATTATTATAAGCATGATTCAAGGAAGCAGTTACTGACAGACAATCCCAGCTTAATGATGTCCACCTGATCATGAAGAGTAGGAAATGTCTGAATGACTGAACAATAACAGGAAGACTGTCTTTCAAGGAGGAAACATGTGCTAACCAATAGATACTGGAAGACAAAGAAAGCTTAAATAATTCTATAATCTATATTCAGAACACAAAACAGAATCACATAGGTCGTCAGCAAATCTATACGTTGAAAGCCCATTTGCACTGCATTTAGTTTTTGCATTACTGATCCACAGTAAATTTGTTGAATCATAAAAAATGAGTTAGGAATTCTGAGTGTGAATTTGGCTAGAAACTTTCTAAAGTACTGTTGGAGATTCTCCTATCCTTTAACCACAGCCCTAATGCTTGTTAAGTGGGAGGAGGCAAGAGAGAACAAAAATATTCATCTCTATAGATGACTTGTTGTAGGCATTTATAAGCTAACACAAAGCATTTTGAGCATTTAAACCCACTTTCTTTAATTTGATGCCCTTTAAATTCCATAATTCCAAGTCAGCATGAATCCAGAATTATGGGACCCAAATTAGTTGAAGTCTAACAGATCTGGAGTGCACTAGATCTGGGCATTAAGTTAGATACATCTAGTACAGAATGTGCGGCATGGAAGAATTATTGTAGGAGTAAATACTACAAAATATAGTGGATAAACATCTTACAGATATGGCTCAGTAGAGAATAATTAATGGCATAGGAGCCAAGAGGTATACTCAGCTGTGTGCTAAATCTTAAATGAAAACTTCTCACAGAGAGCTTGCATATTGCAAAGTGGTTTACTGATAAAACCCTTAATGGACTTCAGCCTCCTGTAGAGCTCCAATACTTCATCACTGTGCAGAAAATAGTTTCAACAGCTGAGCTTTTCTCATTTCCATCTATCTAGAGCTACCTGCTAAAATGCCCTCTCCAGTTTTCCTTTTTCTTCTGGCCATTCTGATCTTTTTTGGAATGAACTGCAACTGAAAAAACTTGGGGTCATGAAAAAAAAGTAATGAAATATTTGTTGAAATATTTGTTGTTTTGTTAGGTTAAGGTGCCACTTTTTGTTTTTGCTCCAAAAACAACCACAACCACAACCTAAGAAGCTAGTCCTCTGGTATGTGGACACATACTTGAGACATTGCATCTTGATTCAATACAAGTCTGCCTATGTATTTCATCACTGTGAGTTTCTATGGACTGGGCCAGAGCATATAAACAATTTTCACAATAAAAACAGAGGCACTGTGCTGTTATACTAAAAGCACAAACCTTAGTTGCAAAAATACAAGCTTTCTCTCTTGCATAGAAGACTTGTCTGAAATTGGATTTTCCACTCGCTGAAGAGCTTTGTGTATATAAGAACCTTGTACCAGAAGCTTTTTAAAAAATGTTTTGTTCCTTGTACCTCTTGAAAGCAATAAACTTACAAGCTTCAAGATAGCAGTCTGAAAACCTTCCTTTTATCTGCTACCCTCAAGTAATAGAATTCCTGCTATCAGAAAGTGGAATGTAGTTGGCAGAGAGCAAGTGCCCTTTTTGGAGGCAATAATCAGCCTCTGAACTCAGACAATGGACAAGGTTAGGATGAGATCCGAGCTTTGCTGACTCCTGAGAGATATTAACAGATATCCTAAGCATCCTTGCTGGAAGCAACCCTCAGAGCTAGATTTAGACTGATGGTCGATTTGACAAAGTAAAACACAGTCTAAAAAGCTATAGAACAGACTTCAGCACTGCAGTTTATTAATCCATGGAGAATTTCACTTAACAGAAATAAGGCCATCTCTCAGCTCTTGAATGGCACAAGATACGAGATCTCTGTATATTCTTCATGAACATAAAAACCTTCATTTTAGCTACAGGTATACAATGCCTTTTCAAGATATTATAATGCACTCTATGGATAACAAGCATTTGTTATTCAGTGGCTAGAATATTTCCCCATGCAGGGAAAGCAACAAAGCAAGACAAATGCATAGTGATAAAAAGTAAAAATGTTTACTTTTCTTTTGAGTACTTTTACTGCTTGCAAATCTCATGACACTTATATATATCCTACATCCAGGTTTCTCAGCTATATTTTGAGGTGGCAGTTTCATTCAGAAGTCCTCTCCTTTGGAAATAACGGGATGCTAATGATCAATTCTATTTTTTCACCCAGCATGATTATGATGATCCTGAAGATCCTCATTCTAACATTAACTCTAATACTGAAAGAAATGTTTCTTTTCAAATTATTTGAAAACTCTCACCTTCTTAGAATCTCCTGCAAAATCCTGAGCATTGCTAAAGGATTATTTTGAATAATCTGACCTGAAGACTCATCTCAAGAAGAGTACCACACAGACATGATAGGCCTTACTACTGCTCTGTATTAATTAAATACACGGCCCAGAATATGTAATTACAGAGTATTACAGAGAAGGATGAGTGACCCTGGATTGCTTGGGTTTGTCCAGCCCATTTATTAAACATAAATACATTTATTTTAAGATGGTGGAAATCTGCCATCAGAGTCTGAATCACTAATAGTGAATAGCATTGTTTCCAAGATCCTCTGCTCAGCTCATGTCTGCTTAGCCTTACCTTTCCATAGCAATGGTATGGATGGATCATCACGGCTAATGTCATAATATTTATTACCATCTTCCAGTTCACTGTTCACAGTGTTGCCATTACCAACATTCATACTTTTGATAGTAAAGAAGTTCTGCATCTTCATATTGAATCTAGAAGTATAAAGAGAAAAATATTAAGGTTTCAAAGAACAACTCATAGCTCTGGCTCTCTTCTGTTCTGTTTCGGGGTCTCACAACCACTGGGAGCAAGTTGGATTGTGATGCATCAGTTTATCAAGTGTCATCTAATTTGAGAATAACTAGCTGATGATTACATTATAATTAGGCCCCTCATGATCTGGCCAAAATTAAGCACTGTTAGATCCCACTAGTTTCAATGCCTATTAAAGTGATATTTATTTCTCTCCCACTAAAAGCAAATGTGCTTACATTTTCATTTGGATCATACAAGAAATGAGAATATTACAGAGATCTATGAGCCAGGCAATGGGGCTGTCATATCTATGTTATATACAGTAACTGAAATGCTGCAACATGTTCCCGATAAGCAACATCAATGATGGAAGCTGGATTGGCTTAATGACTGTGTGATTCATGTAATGTGGTGATTTAATGACCATGACGAAAAAAGGTCACAAAACAGGGCTTGACTAGCTTAAAAATTGCCTTGCTTAGCAATGGAAGTTCTGATCTCAATTGTGATCATAAGTCAAGGACTACCTGTACTGTGTTTTCAAAATCCATGTTGCTGAGGGATATGCGGAAGAGAGAGGCCAGATTCATGAGTCCTTCAGAAGAGGAGAATTATCCATGAACCTAACATAACTTTACAGCATTACCTCTAACTCTGATTGCATGATCCAGTGGCTGTGTATCACAGCACACCAGGCTTTTGAACTATGTGTTGCTCCCCTCTGAAATGTTTTCTAATTTGGAAACGATGATTTATGACACTGCTGTAAAATAATTATGTTGATTATTATTTCTCTAGCATTGCAAAAAGAAATATAAAAGAAAAGCCGTTATTTCTTGCAAGGGTAGCTGATTAATAGCCAATATAAAAACTAATTCAAATTCTCCAAAGCCAAATCCATAAATGCAAGCATGCTTCATTTTGAATTAGAGCTTTCTTTGTGCAATCCCCCCCTCAATTACTTACCTTGGCTGCTTACAATGCTCTTTCAAATGGGCTATTTTGAATATGAAGAAATAAGCAGAATATTTCTGATATACAGCCGCTTCCTTAGTTTCCTTGGAAAACTACTTCCCTTGGATGCATTCCATATTCTTTGCTCTTATAATGCAACATTGGACTTCAATACCCATTACCTCAACCTCTACTGCCAAGGGCTATGCTGGCTAGTGATAATGGAAGTGGTTTCCAACATACTGGAGGGCACTAGACAGTGAAAGGCTATCATAAACACCAAATGTTCTTGTTTATCTCAATTTCAATAGCCCAAATGTACAAGAATGAGACTCAAGTTATTGCAGACAATATACATTTAAGCAGAAAATCCACTACTAGTTGGGGAAATTAACAGCAATAAAGCAAGCAAAGTGAGCTATTCTTAGTAATCTAGCCAAGTACATTGCAAGCTCATACGCCTATTTAGCCACACATATTTAAAGCGCAGAGAAGAAGTTAAGAGTACTTACTTCATGATAAGTATATAGAAGGAATACATAATGATGAGTATAAGGCTTTCCCACCTCAAATAAATAAAAGGAAGGAAATTAGTAGTATAGCTAGTGCCATTTGTGGTAGTGATGCATATTTTCTGTGGAATATATCATATACACTATTTCCCACTTCTAGCACTTCATATATTAAACCAAAGAAGTTGTTGTGTCTGCCTGTTCTTTGTACCTCTTATTATTCACTCCTTCCTGCAGCCAGTTTCAATTTGTTTTTCTCTCAATGCTTCATAGTGTTCTTAAAACCAATCAGTTGCTACCTTCCACCTGTGCAGCTGGTCTCCCCAGCTCCCCCCACAACTATTTCTAATCAAAAATATTGCCAAGGCAGAACAAGCTCTTACACCACATCACCTAAACAAACTTAAGAGATAGCTATCTTTCCTTAGGTGGGAAATTGGCTGAGAGTCCCCAAACTCTCCCCCAAAATAAATCAATTGAAATAAAGATTTGCTAACAACATAAAAGCCCCCACATTTTAGAAGGACTCTAGATTCCTTGAAAACTCTGCTGATAGTTTTCCGATCACTGATGAGTGGAGCAGAGCAAAGTGTGCCAGGAAACCATTAGAAATAGCTATGAAACTTCAGGATCCAAAAACCTTTTGCCTTACTAACACATCAATAAAACTGGTCCACAACTATCTGTCTCCACCTGTAACAGAAAGAAAAGAATAGCTCCCCATTTTTCTATCCTGATTACAGAAAGAATCCAAGTTGGAGGATGTGCTGGAGATTTTACAAAAAATAATCCCATCCAACCCCAAGAGTAGATTTGCTCTGCATGTCCAAGTTTACTTCTCTTAATCAAACAATGTAAGAAATGAAAAGAACCACTTACCATACAATTTTCTCATCATATATAAACTAAAAAAAGAGTGAAAAAGAAAGGAAAATTGAATAATTATGTAATTCAAGTGAAAAGAAATTTGGCTACATTATAGAGCACAGTGGCATGCATACATATAATGCTGAGTATAGAATGGTCTCCAGGCAGAATCATTCTAGGACTTTTATTCTCAGTTACGGCTGATTTTTGGTCCTAAATCATTTTTTCAGTAATGAAGGCCACCTTCGGTGCCATATCAACACTGGTGCTTGATGATGTATGTGTAGCATTTTTGAGGTAGGGCAAGCTTGGCAAATCTGGGAACCTCCTGATATATTAAGATTACTACTCCAAGACTTCCAAGTGAGGAGAATTGGAGGTCAAGTTGAGAAGTTTGTTGTAGACAGTGATTACATTATACGGTGGACAGAGCTGCAAAGTCCAGGTTAAGAGGCTGTGAAAGCACTGAAGATGCATGAAGCACTGGATCTTCCTATGAATAGAAGATTTCCTTAAAATAAAAAGCAGTATGTCGTTCTTGCATTTCTAACTTTACAGGAAAAATACCTCATTGGCTCACTGATCCAAAATTCAGTACAATATGTACTAAGAAAAAAAATAGGTAAATGGTTTAATTTGGACCACAGGGAAGGTGTTATTTCTGCATCACATTTGACTACCAGTTGTCAAGATCTGGAAGCTTCAGAGGCAAATAGGTGACTCATTTGGGGAGAATTAATGGATTTTTATCATGAACAAAGCCAGCCAGCCCTAGAATAATTAAAAGCAATAGTTCATAAAGCTAAAAGCAACCTTTAGCATTCCTGGACATCTCTCAAAGTTCATGGCCGATGTCTTTCACAGGTCACATGGTGGCAAGATGAAGCAGCCATTTAAATTTCCTAGTAATTTCCTAACACAGGATTATATTGCAGCTTAGGAAATGATAGCAAAGTCTCTTCTAATATTGCTCCTGGTTGTCATCACTGCCAAACGAGACCATCAGGACCTCAGGCTGAAGGGGAATTTGCCAGAGCTGTTTTTGCAGAAATTCAAGAATTAAAGCTCAACGGGAACTATTCGATGTACTTTCTTACGTCTTCTATGCGACGAGGACGATGTAGACGATTACCAGTCTAAATAAAGAAATAAATTCTATAAATATATCCGTAGGTAGGTCACCACCCTAAGTTTATACAGTTGTTGATCAAGAGACACACCTACGGTGAAGACCTTCAGGTAAGACCCGGACCCCAACAAAGAATTAGCTATCGGTTCTGCTGAAATGGTGCGAACCAGCTGAATCCCACCACTGCATCCATCTCAAGTAAGTTATCCCGGACAGTTACAACATTAAAATAACAAAAACATTTAAAAACATAAAACCAAGGGCAGCTGCAAACAATAAGAAGATGGTTATGTGTTTGGATGCATCTCTTAATTCTCAGCTAGCATGGTCATTCTGGGAAGTTGCCTTCTCACCTGTTCTAAAAGGTATCAAGACTGAAGCACACAATCTAGTATCTTATTTATCTATCCATTTACTTATTTACTTAAAACATTTAACCAACCTCTAGCCAACTCTGGGTGGCTCCCAAAATCCTTTGTGTGGGATATTTTATTGGGAAAACCCTCCATAAGGAGGTCTATTGAGAACCAAAATCTCAAGCTCAGCTATGTTCAAGAATATGGTGAAGAAAACTGACAAAACTTACCACAATAAGCACTACTACAGACACAGTGTAGTAGACAGAATCCCTGCACACAGACCACCAAGTGAGACGGACCACCTAGAAAAAGGATACAATTATTCCATATAGCAACCTCTATATCAGCAATGCTTGGATGTTAGATTTTGCCACAGATTCTGAAACCTGGGAGCAAATTGATAAAATAAGGTTCATACATGCATTCATATCCCATTACAATCTTATCACTTACTAGTTAGCATTGCTATCCATTAAAAGATATCCATTTAAGAAAGAACATTTATGTCTTTAAAAACAAATTCTGAACCTGTGTTTTTCTACACAATCTTGTACTATCTTAATTTCTACAGTTTTACATTATCAAAAAAAATATCATGCAGTGAAGTCATATGAAACTTCCTGATAGGGCTGGTACACTTTGAATCCTATCAATAAAACAGGGCTATTTCATGGGATGCAGGAAGTGTGTCTTATTTGTCACCATGGCTGCCCATTAGAACAACATCCTCCCTTTAGGATGGACCTTGAAAATCTGTTTCTGTCCTCATGCATTGGGCAGGATGTAAGATGAACCTATATAATAAAGCATATTTTGTGTTTATTTGCCCTCAGTGCAATGGATGTGTTGCAGTTTTAGAATTTCATTCAATTTCTTTAAATGGTTTTTTATTATTATTCTTTGTAAATCACCCAGAGAAATCTGACAAGCAGGCAGCCTACAAATCAAATAAATAAGTTAATCAATCAGAGAGAATGAAAATGTAAATACTCTACTCATTGAGAAATTAGTGTGTCAGTCTATGTTAGAAAAACTAAACATTCTTATGGCATCTTAAAGAATGAGATATTTGTTGTAGTGTAGGACTTGTGATTTGTAGCCCATATATGTAAATAAAAAGTTCATGCCATTCTAAGTTATGAATATATAGAGATAATTATGCTTAGGTGTGGGAATGGATATTAAACCCTGATGCTCTGTATTATCATCCAACAATTAATAACATATTTAATTACAATAACAATTAACAGGATGTTTTCCTACCTTGATACTCAGATAACCTCTCGAGTATCTGATTAAGTGGACTATACACTATCCCAAAGTATCACACAATAAATTTGTTAGACTTTATAATAATAATAATGATAAAGTTGGAAGGGACCTTGGAGGTCATCTAGTCCAACCCCCTGCTCAGGCAGGAAACCCTATACCATTTTGGACAAATGGCTGTCCGGTTTCCTCTTAAAAACTTCCAGTGTTGGTGCATTCACCGCTTCTGGAGGCAGGTTGTTCCACTGGTTAATTGTTCTAACTGTCAGGAAGTTTCTCCTTAGTTCTAGGTTGCTTCTCTCTTTGGTTAGCTTCCACCCGTTGCTCCTTATCCTGCCTTCAGGCACTTTGGAAAATAGCTTGACTCCCTCTTCTTTGGGGCAGCCCCTGAGATATTGGAACACTGCTATCATGTCCCCCCTCGTCCTTCTCTTTGTTAAACTAGACATACCCAATTCCAGCAACCGTTCCTTATATGCTTTAGCCTCCAGTCCCCTAATCATCTTTGTTGCTCTTCTCTGTACTCTTTCTAGAGTCTCAACATCTTTTTACATCGTGGTGACCAAAACTGGATGCAGTATTCCAAGTGACACAAAACCTTTCTTTGTTCATACTATTCCCAAAATATTAGAACAGCTTTTAGAGTTTACACAATATTTGTACTTCCTACAACCTGGGAACAGTCATACATACATTCTGTTTTATCTTCTTAGTATGGAGGCTGGAAATCAAATACCTTGTTACATTATTATACTATTTGAGCAATAGAGTGAAAGAATGCAATTCAAAGGAGTGGAATATTATTTACTTGGCAGGCAGATGCCTTATAATTGGTTAATACTCTAATGAAGATGAAATAGAAAGGAGATTGCAACAGGAACAAGAATATTATATCACAAATACTGTTTGGACTATCTTGACTTACTGTAATGATTACTGATTACTTGGCTAACTGCAATGATTACTGATTACTTGGCTTACTGTAATGATTTCTGCCTGAATTCACTTAACACAATGTGTGAGCCATAATGATTGCTTATGGTTTAGCATAATATGCAAAGCCAGTCATCTGTGATATGCTCAATAAACCCCATTTAATCATAGTTTAGAATAACATGCAAAACATATTTCCGAATAACTTCTGAGGTGAAGGATCAAATAAATAGCTAAACTTATATAACAAACCTTAACTTCCAGAAGAGATTCCTTTAGGATTATTATCTATTTAAAAGCTCCACCAGAGAAAAACATATTTACAGAACAAGCAATATTTCA